ACAGCTCATACTAACCACTGTGTACACTGTGTTTAAACCCACCGCCCCAGTGGGTGTCCGAAATCACAGCTCATACTAACCACTGTGTACACTGTGTTTAAGCCCACCGCCCCAGTGGGTGTCCGAAATCACAGCTCATACTAACCACTGTGTACTGGGGGCGTGGGTTTAAACCCCCCCGCCCAAGGGGGGGCCCAAACTGCAGCTCATACTAACCACTGTGTACACTGTGTTTAAGCCCACCGCCCCAGTGGGTGTCCGAAATCACAGCTCATACTAACCACTGTGTACACTGTGTTTAAGCCCACCGCCCCAGTGGGTGCCCAAACTGCAGCTCATACTAACCACTGTGTACACTGGGTTTTCTCCTATACATACATATCTTATGATAAAGTTTAAGTTATGAATTAGGCGTTGTAAGAGATGAACAACTCTGATAATAACTAATAATAAAATAGAACAATCACTACAATATACTGTATGAAAAGTGATGTGTGGGAATCAGCAGTTAGTGTAATGGCTATGTCGCTGGACTCCCACGTAGTCAACCGCGGTTCGCATCCCAGATCCGGTGGCTTAGAACTCATGCTGGGCGCGTGTGCGTGCATGCCCAAGATCCCGAGAGGAGAATGGAGGAGAAGGGATTGCGGCGTGACCATCCCCCCCTGGGGGGTGATTTCTCGCTTTCTGTCTCTCTGTCTCTCTCTGTCTGTCTGGCGAGCGCACGCGCCCTATAGCAAAATAAACCTCTCCAAAAAAAAAAAAGTGATGTGACCGTGGTCTTTCTCAAGATACCTCACGGAACTGCACTCAGCTCCTGTGGGACTGCAGTTGGCTGAGGGTAGCCAATACCATGGCTAAGGGGGGCTCTCGTACAGGGAAACTGGACTACCCCCTTACACACCGAGGGGAGGTGTATCGAGGGCTCTCCCAAGGGGTACAAGGTGAAGTCGGTCTCTGACCAGTGGAACTAGGCCAGGAGCTTCTCAGTGAGACAGCCCTGTAGGGAACCGCCTGACTGAAAGAGAAGAACCTCAGATGACCCTGTGGCACGGTGGCGATGCGCTGCTCAGGAGAAGCCAGGTCCTGCATGGCAACTGGGCCATGAACCCCTGGTTGGTCAGCTGAAACACTCTGAGATGTGTGAGCGTCCAGGATGACAGGCCGGAGACTGGAAGAAGGAATCCTGGTGTGACCAGACCCCGCGGGGAGTGCTCCTCGCTCACTCTTACATATACGTGCATGCATTTTACAGTGAATGAAGAAAAACATTTAAAAGTGAAGTATTTAGGGCCAGCTGGTGGCATGGTGGTTAGGGCGCTGGACTCCCCCACATGGCTGACTGCCGAGTCTCTGACTTGACGACTTGCTTTCTCACTTTCCCTCTCTCTCTCTGGTCAAGTTAAAAAAAAAAGAGAGAGTGGCAGATGGCATAATGATTATGTTGCTGGATTTCCACGTAGCCAACCATGGTTTGAGTCCTGGACTCGGTGGCTTAAACCTCACGCTGGAAGCATGTGCATGTGTGCCCAAAATCCTGAGAGAAGAATGGAAGAAAAAGGATTGTGGTGTGGCCATTACTCCAGGGAGTTATTTCTTGCTTTCTGTCTCTATCTCTCCAGAGAGCACATGTACCCTTTACAAAAATCTCTCTCTCAAAAACAAAAATTTTTTTAAAAATCTCTCTCAAAAAAAAAAAAAAGTTTTTTTTAAAAGATAAAATAATTCTTGAAAAAGATGAAGTATTTAATACTCATAAACCTATTTTTAAAATATTTATTTATTTAATTCCATTTGTTATTATTAATTTTTAAAAATTTAACCAGAGAGAAACAGAGAAAGAAACAAAAAGACAAAGCCAGAAGCAAGCCACCAGGTCCGGGACTCGAGCCACGGTCGGCCATGTGGAAGTCCAGTGGCCCAACCTGGCCCCACTCATAACTCCATTTAAAAATTATGCCACAAGGCATGTCCACTTGCTGGGGTGGTGGGGGAAGACATAGAGAGAGAGAGAGAAGGAAAGCAAGAAATCACTCCCATGGGGCGTGATCATGACGCACTCCCGTCTCCTCCATTTTTCCCTCCTTTTGGAATTTTGGGCACAGGTGCACATGTACCCAGCATGTTTTTCACACTTTCCAAACCACACGGTTGGCCATGTGGGATCCAGCCCCCTTACCAGCCACCTTAACCACCATGCCACCAACTAGCTAACTCATAACTCTAATACAATTCTTTTTTCTTTTAGTCTTTAGAAAGTCTTGCTGGCAGGTGGTATGGTGGCTAAGGACATTGGATGCCCACATGGCCGACTGAGGTTCAAGTCCTGGACCTGGCAGCTTACTCTCTCTCTCTTCCTCTGTCTCTCTCTGGTCAACTAAAGACAACAAAGAAATAAAGATAATAAAAAAAAAAGTCTTCAGGACTGCCTGCAAAGATGACTATAATGGAATTTATGCTGTCAACAAATTGCTACTCATGTAATTTCTTTTTCTTCTTTTTTCTATTTTTTTTTTTGAGAGATTTTCACTGTTGGGCGTGTGCGCTCGCCAGACAGACAGAGAGAGACATAGAGACAGAAAGCGAGAAATCACCCCCCAGGGGGGATGGTCACGCCGCAATCCCTTCTCCTCCATTCTCCTCTCGGGATCTTGGGCACGCATGCACACGCGCCCGGCGTGAGTTTTAAGCCACC